TTCCAATAAGATGCAATTTTGGAAAAGGAAAAGCTATACAGATAGTAAAAAGATCAGTGGGCCAAGTGTAGTGGTATACACCTGTAATCCCAGCTATTCAGGAGGCTGATGCAGGAGGACTGCAAGTTCAAGGCCAGCCTCGGCAACTTAACAAAATAAAAAAATAAGCAGAGCATGGTGGTTGCACACCTATAATCCCAGCAGCTCAGGAGGCTGAGATAGGAGGATCAAGAGTTCAAAGCCAGCCTCAGCAACTCTGCAAGGCCCTAAGCAACTCAGTGAGACCTTGTCTCTAAATAACATACAAAAAAGGGCTGGGGATGTGGCTCAGTAGTTAAGCATCCTTGGGTTCAATCCCTGGTACAAAAATAAATAAATAAATAAATAAAAAGAGTTGGGGTGTAGCTCAGTGTTAGAGCACTTGCCTAACATGTGGGAAGTCCTGGGGTTCAATCCCCAGTACAACAAAAAGTGATATATAGGTGAAGCACAGAGTATTTTTAGGTCAGAGAACCTATTCTGCATGGTACTGTAATAATGGATACATGACATGCATTTATAAAAATCCACAGAACTGTAAATGAACTTTAGTTAATAACAATGTATCAATATTGGTTCCTTAATTATAAAAAACATACCACACTAATGCATGACATTAATAGGGGAATCTGCCAGTGGAGGAAGTATATGGAAACTCTGAACTATCTGCTCAATTCTGTAAATCTACAACTGTACTAAAAAATAAAGTTCAGAATTTTTAAAAAGGTGAAGATTAAAGAAGGACACTCTAGGGACTGGGGTTGTGGCTCAGTGATAAGAGCACTTGCCTCCCACGTGTGAGGCCCTGGGTTCAATCCTCAGCACCACATATAAACAAACAAATAAAATAAAGGTATTGTGTCCATGTACAACTAAAAAAAATATTCTAAAGAAGGCTACTCTAAAGTTAAATAAGTTAATCTACCACATTAGTTATTTCCTAGATAATTAAATAATTGACATGTTTTCTATACTAAATTTTCCTGATAAAAGTGCTAAGAAGAAACTCAACTATCACTAGTTAAACTATTATGTATGGTGGAGACATGAAGACTGAGGCTTCTCTCTCACAACAAAGTTCAAATGAACTTCACACTAAATTAACTGAAAAAAAACATTACTCCTCTGTAGTTGTCTGTGGACTATTGTCCTTGGTCTGTTATCTGACCTAAGAAGTACTGAGACAAACCCATTAGGATTAGAAATATGACATATAAAGATGCTCCCTGACATTTGTTAATCCATTTGGCAAACATTTTTTGAGCACCTACATTGATTTCACTTTTTAGCTTACTCAGTTCTGACAATAACCCTGCTAAGCACATATTCGTTTTATTCCTAGTCATGTTATGCATGAGGACCTGTGAAGCTAAAGAGCTTGTCAAAGATCATTTAAGGGGGAGAGAATTGAACAACAGCAGAGGAGGTAGAGAGGGAAGATGGGAGGGGAGGGGAGGGGAGGGGGGATAGTAGGGGATAGGAAAGGTAGCAGAATACAACAGTCACTAATATGCCATTATGTAAAAATGTGAGTATGTAACAGAAGTGAGTCTGCAATATGTATTTGGGGAGTTCAAAACCCAATTGAGTCAAATGTATGAAAGATGATATATCATGAGTTCTGTAATGTTTTGAACAATCAATAAAAAAAAATGGAAAAAAAAAAAAGATCATTTAGCCATTGAATAGTGAAGGCCAGTAACACAGGGTATTATTAGGTCAGAGAACCTATTCTGCATGTTACTGTAATAATGAATACATGACATGCATTTATAATTATAAATATTTTTTAAAAAGATGCCACTTTTGGCCTTTAGTGTGGCCTTTTTTATGCATTTATAATTATATGCATTTATAATTTGTAATTTACATGCATTTATAAATATTTTTTTTAAAGATGCCACTTTTTTGCCACTGCTCTCCTTGGGCTGTTTGTTTCCTCCAAATCACACTTTCTTTTTTTTTAAAAAAAAGGCCATTCTGAAGTCTGACTCCTAATTATTAAGAGTCATCTAACTTGTATATGGTATATCAGATGATCTAGACTCAAGTCTTAGTTATATCAGTTATTTGCTATCACTTATTAGTTTTCCAGCACATGTATAAAACAATGAAAATATTTTATGGCATTTCTCGATTGCTCTGAGAAATGCCATAAAATTCATGAAAATGCTTTAAAAGTTACTAAAATATTTTCATATTCTTACCATTTCATGTCATGTCCTATATGATATTAAATGTTTTATATTACAAATTGATTATTTTTAGCACAGTCCTAGCTACTGAATTGTTCTCTGATCGTATGTTGGAAATTTTGGAAGGATAACTTTTGCAGTCTACCAAAGCTTAGGTAGCACCCAAAAATCCTGTAGATACACTGGTGTATTTATTCCCCCCTACCAACTTTTTACATAGGACGGTAGCGTCCCATGCACATTTTTTAAAAATATATTTTTAGTTGTTGACAGACCTTTATTTTATTTATTTGTATGTGGTGCTGAGAATCGAACCCATTGCCTCACACATGCTAGGCAAGCGCTCCACCACTGAGCCACAACCCCAGTGCCCCCCAATGCATATTTTTAACTGCACTGTTTTTCTACTTAACATAGAGTAAATAAACAAAAAATTGAGAGAGAATGTGTAGGACAGTATGTATTTGTGCTGTGTAATATTTCAAGGTGTGCATTAAATGCTATTTAACGGTACCCTTTTCTAATGGACATTTAGGCTATTTTTAATGCCACAGCGAGTAATCTTATGCACTCAACATTTTGTAGATGTGCAAGTATAACTACTGAATAAAGTCCCAGAAGAAGAATTGCTGGGTCAAAGATGTTCATTTGAAATTTTTATAAATGTTACCGAATTGTACTTCACAGAGTCTGAACCAATTTACTCTCCAGAGAGTTTGACACTTGCTTCTCCATATTCCTAACATATGTTTTCCAGGCTAGCCTCAAATTTGTGGGTTTAAGGGATCCTCTTGTCTCAGCCTCCTGACCAGCTGGGACTATTAGCGAATACTATCATGCTCGAGCTTCAATGCTATTTTTTAAAAAGTCAATTCCCAGCAACCTCAGTTTACTAAATATATCAAGTCTTACCCATCCACATCTGGTGTTAACTTTGGCTCAGATTTCCAACAACCATTCTTCACCACTTCACAGTAACTCACAAGGGACAATTCTTCCCATATCTACTTTCAAAGGCAAACTTCAAATCTTTTCTTAAGAAAAGAGCTATATTTGATTTGATGCAATATTTATGTATTTTGTAACTATTTAACATGTGTAAAATGGTGCTACCATTTTCATTAAGTTCATATCTTCATTCATGCCTGTAATCCCAGCAACTCAGGAGGCTGAGGCAGGAGGATTGCAAGTTCAAAGAAAGCCCTGAAACTTAGTAAGGCCCTAAGCAACTCAGTGAGACCCTTTCTCAAAATAAAACACAAAAAAGGCCTGAGGACATAGCTAAGTGGTTAACAGCCCTTGGGTTCAATCCCTGGTACCAATAAAAAAAGTTTATATCTTCTCTTTATGTGTCACTGGCAAAGTGTTACATCCCTAGCCCCATCTTTCTCACAAGGTTTGTGATTTTTATTGTCCAATTTTGCTAAACTCAGTGATTTTTATGGACAAATACACCCTTTTATACCAGAACTAACTGTAAAAAATCAAATGACAATATCCTCTCCAAATACATCTATTAATTATTAGAAAAATTCAAAGCTTGATAAATCAACAATACAAACCAATAAGATTTCAACCACTTTTCACTGTTTAAAAACTGCAAACTAAGAAGTTAAAAGAAATTAATTTCAAATGCTAAGATAATAATGTGGAAAGACATTTTCAGTTGTTACACTTTTGTTTTCTGGAGTTTTTAATGAATACAAGATAGTTCTTAAGAAAAAAAACACAGTCATTTCCCAAGGACTAAGGCAGTAATTTATGGAACCAAACTACTCAGCATGCATACCCTGCTCTCCTTGGGCTTCTTGTTTCCTCCAAATCACACAAAAATACCAATTTCAATTCAGTTTTCATCCATTCCCCTTGCACAAGGTATCTTTTCTTCTTGGTCTCATCAAATCATTTATTCCCCTCACCAACTCCATTCTTCCCTATCCCTCTGAGTTCCTACAGCCCTGATTTTTGTTCAATTACATAGTTTTAGTTTCATACTATTTGTTCATTTCATTCTTATCCCTTGAATGTGCAAGCTCCTCAAGGGGGAAAAAATCTTCCTAATATTTTGAAATCCATACAGAGCTTAGCATGTGGAGCAGAGTAAGTGCTCAAGAAGTTTTTGCTGCTAGGTAACAAACAAGACAAAATTACAGGTACCAAAATATCTTCTGGTTTTCTTAGTTAGAACTCCACCACCTCTGGTATTTCAATGTCTTTGAAGAAGCTAAAATTTTAACTTGGCTCTGCTGAAAATATTTATGGTTGCTAAGGAAATAAAATCTGTTCAATCTACACTCCAATATTTTATCACGACAAAGGCCAAACAAGAAATTCTTGTTATTACACGAAACATTTTTATAAGTAGGCATTTGCATATTATGCAATATATGTAAGCAATTTTATTTTGAAGCACTTTATCATAATGTCAAATTATCCCAGTGGTTTTTAAAGTTTTCTTTTGGTAGCAGAAAAAAATTTTTTTCTTTTTCCAAACAAAAAGCATAGTAGAATTCTACCATATGGAAAAAAACCCAAAAAATATATCTTGCTAATGTGGTGGGAGAGGGCTGTAGTCTGCCTGCTTGGGTCCCTCTCAAACCATCTCTGCCTCCATTCCCCAAATGCATTGGCCCCTTCTGGCATCTTTGAGAACCACACAGTGCTGAGAAACATTCATGGAATAATCAGCAAACTGCCAAGAACAGAAAAACAATTCTTAATTTTTAAAAAAATTACTAATCAGTAAAATATAAAATTAAAACTTACCCATTTCTACTGAAAACTCTTAGCCATGCTTTGATGTTTGGTCCTAACAAACATAAACAAGGTACGGTAGTAAAAGTAGACAAAAGAACCGCAAATGAAAATGTTTCCAACACCAACCTAAAACAAACAAACAAGCAAGCAAAACTTCATTAATTTCTTAAAAAGTGTTAAAGATACACATATACATACATACAAAATCTTTATCACATGAACATATTTAATATAAAAATATTTTCTGATATTTTGAAAAGTTACATGAGTCCCATCAAAATGACTATAAATAATCTTACTGCTAAAATACAAACTTTAAAAGCCAATCTAGGAAATATCTAGTTTTAATGATAAATGTCAAAAATGTGAAAAACCCTAAGATTCATACTGAAACTTCCATTTCTGGATGTTAGCTTTCTTCCTCAACAGTCTCTAGAATTTTCTCTACAACCAATGATTCAACTCTTATTTCTAGTTTGTGCTGGGTCAGGCAAATGCTATCATGTCTGATGACAAAGATCTTGTCCTCTCTCTGAAAAAAGAATAAATCTGTTAGTTTAATATATATATAAGCGGAGTGCAGTGGCACATGCCTGTAATCCCAGCAACTCAGGAGGCTGAAGCAGAAGGACAGAAAGTTCAAAGTCAGACTCAGCAAAGTGAGGCACTAAACAACTCTGTGAGACCCTGTCTCTAAATAAAATATAAAACAGGGCTGGAAATGTGGCTCAGTGGTCAAGTGCCCCTGAGTTCAATCCCTGGTACTGCCTCCCCCCCAAAATATGTATATATACAGTTATATATAAATATATATATAACTATTTACATGGTTATAGATGTGTGTATATGTATGTGTTTATATATATATATATAAAAGTAATTTCATCATGATCATTAATCACTGCTAAAGTTTTCCAAACTGTAATAAACATTATGTAAGAAATATTTATTAATCTCCACTGATTTGAAATTCGTTAGTTTTTAAAAAGTATTGAGTTTAATTTGACCTATAAATATTAGCTTATTAACTATTTTAATATAAAAACTTATTGACTTTCCTTGGGAAAACAAACTCTTTCAACTAATTCAGAATCACATTTGTTAAGAACTGATATGTTATAACTAACTTACACATATCATGACAGTGAGTTCCCTTAGAGGTCTAAAAGAGACACATTAGCATATTAATACTAATTAGTGTTTTAAATATACATACACACACAGTTCCTCACCTGCCCTTCCTCCTCCCAACATGTATTTGGGCAACAGAGGCTAAATAATAGAAGCATTTAATGAACTAAGTTATGAATTGTTATTCTACTTTTTAAAATACAGTAGAATACAATACTAAAGAAGAAAAATTATGTTTTTTCCTGCCTTGATTCATTAATCACACCACAGTTTTTCTATTATTGCCAACAGAGTTAACATATTAAGTTTTTTAAAATATGAAGTTAAAAGTAAAAATTTCAAACTTACTCTATTAGTGGTGCTCCATATAGAACAAAAATCACATGAAAGGAAAAGCAAGACATAAGAAAGTAGATACAACATTTCAAAATTCTGGTTACCTAAAAAAGAAATGAATAATTTGAAGACTCAAGAGACTGACAAAGGACAAATTCTTCCATTTTATCTACAAATACAACTTTTTCCCATAATGTGTGAAATAGCTTAATGTTCTAAAAGGTAAATACCATGCACACCCACATTCTACCCACCCGTGAGTCAAATGGATTTCTGTTTCTGTAATATGTATTGAGCTATGCTATTAATCCATATTTATGAAATACTTGTTGATAACAGAGTGCTAGAATATAAAATACACACAGTACTTGTTATATAATAATACATGAAATCACTGCAGAAAATAACTTTTTGTTTTTTCATTTTAAAACAAAACTCCTGGGACAACTGCAACACAAAAACAAAATACTATATAATTTTCTAAGCCACATTCATATTACTGTATGAATCATATGAAAAAAGACCTGAACATCTACAAATAGCACACGTAGGACTCACTTGATTTGGAACTTAAGAAGGTATAATTATAAAATACACATTAAGCTTTTAAAACCATATGGCAGTAAATATGTTAAATTAAATTACCTAATAGAGAGCTTATATATGATATTGAATGTTAAGTGAGAACTTTATTAAAGTAATAGTCAAACATAGTGAATATTTCAGAAAATTGATCCTCATATCTGAAAACTGTTTAGTCAAGGAAGACCATGTTTGAAACAACAGTTACCACAGTGAATTCTTCTGTAATTTTTGAAAAGCCCACTTTCTTTCAGAAATGTAAAAGTAAATGAAAATGAACTGCAATGTCTTTAAAAAATAAGGTTTCAAGGCAGCCATATGTACTTATCTTCAATGGTGATGTAAAACAATGGATTATACAAGCTCACAGTGATATAATATCCACTGAAGAAGTCATAATTTCACAATGAATGCACAGTAAGGATCTATCAAACATAGTGGGTACAGCAAGCAACAAGCTACTGATTTGAAAAAAAAATCAGATTTCTTTACATGCTAACGAGGACAAATACTTTATTCTTTCATTAAAAGAAACACAACTTCCATCCAAAACTTGCTTAAGAAGTAAGCCTTACCTTATGTGATAATGAATTTCTTTTAGAAGATATATTTGGTTTCACTACCAAATATAATACTAGATTGACAGCAGTTACAAAAACAGAACAGATGCACAACCACATCAAGTGTGTTTCCAATATTGAGAAGTTTTCCAAGAATACTGATGGAATGAAGATGCTTAGGATAATTGAAAATATGCACAAAAGATGGGCATACAGTAGTCTCTTGATATCTGTATCTTTCATGGTGTTTTCCTTGGTGGCTATCTAATAAAAAACGAATTAAGAAATATTTAATATTTAAGAAAAACATGTAAATGATTTTCCCATTGTTCTACATGTTTCAACCTCCAAAATAAGCAATGAGCTATTTACTGTGTTTAAATACATATATTTAAATTACAGAGAGCTTATGTATTATATTGACTAGTATTAAATGAGGACTTTATATTAAGTATTTGTCAATAGGTTACACTGTGGTGAACATCCCAGAAAAAAAAAAAAAAAAAAAAAAAAGCATCCCGGAAAAACCTGGGATTTGTCCTAATGGTTCTCATTTAATTCACACAAATCATTTTTCAAAGGCGCATACTTTACTGATAAGGAAACAGGATGAACTAGTTAGGTGCCAGATACAAGGTTTCACACGCTAGTCATTTCAACTCCTAGCCTCTTTAATATGATGATACACACCAGGGTTTGGGAAAACAATGGATGGTAAAATGGGACAAAAAAGTTTCTTCAAGATTCTACGCCTCCACTGATGGCGGGTAGGGCAGGGGAGAAATCAGGAAACTCCTGTGTAAACAGACTCCTTCTGGGCCACCCTTGGAATCCCAGCTACCATTTGCAGATGTGGACCCAAAAGAGTGAACAGTTGTGTACAACGAATCAAAATGCATTCTGCTGTCATATATACCGAATTAGAATAAATAAAGAAAAAAAAATAAAAGAGCGATCATTAAGCACCCAGGCTCAGAGGCTTGCTGGATGGAGTCGGTGAAATGTGCACCCTTCCTGTCACCGGCACTGTCAGGCCTGGGAGTGCCTCCGAGCACGCCTTCCATCGCGAGGCCGCCGCCTCCGCGCCACGAGCTGACCCGACCCAGGTCTACAGGTGTGGCAGCGGAGAAAGCGCTTCTGAGCTATCCCAGAGCAGCCTTCGTGGGGATGCTGGACCTTCAGCAGTAGACCCACCTCAGGCTGGGTCGCTCGGGACACTACCCCAGCCTCAGCCGGCCGGCTTATAAACAGAGATAAATTAATGGAGGGGCAACAATCTAAAAATACAGGCGCTGGACACAAGGGAAAACTGAAGGACAGAGACAGAAACTCGGATTCGAAAGAGGGTCGCTTATCAGAGCAGTCCTTGGGTCACGCCGGAAGGGTGGCGCTCAAGCGGCCGGCCGCCGAGGGCAGGCCGGATCGCGGAGGTTGGCGGCCACTCCAGCAGTTGGCGGGGTGATGTGCAGCCGCGAGAGGTGAGTGTGCCGGGGGCGTCCAGCAGGGCTTACCTAACTGTCCCGCCCGCAGAGGGGAAGGGGAGGCACTGCCTCCCACTGTCAGGTGCGACGGGCTGCCATTGACCCTCGCGCAGGCGCCGGACCCGGAGGTGGAGACCCAGGGCCACACAGCCAATCGCAGACGGGAGTGGGTGGAGTCAATAGGAAGCCCCACCCACCTGCTCGCGTTTATTCCTCCCGCGGTTTTCCAGGTGTAGAGTAGGCGGGAATCGAGGGCTTAGAGACGGAAGTAGGTTGACGTAGCCGGAAGGGGACTCCTACTCCGGCGGTAGTGTTGATGTTTTTGAGTTGCTGCTGCTTCTGCGACTGAGGAACCGTAGACAGAAGGATGGTGTGCGAAAAATGTGAGTTAAGGACCCGCTTCTGAGGAGGAGCAGGCTAGGAAAACCTGACTGGATTTTATTGGGAACTTGGCTGAATCTGTTTTCTCACGGGGCTCCGAGTCTAACCTTTGTCCTCTTGCGGTGCCCCTCCCCAGAGTCCGTTTAGTCCTATTTATTTTGTGTTCAGAGTGGTCTCTGTTCTGCACCTCTATTTCCGTTTCCTCCCCCTACCCACGAATCTCATCCATTTCAGCTTGTTGACTAGCGCCCTCAGGCTTCAAACGAACCTTCAAAATCGCTTCAGTGGCATCGGGAGTTGCAAGATACAGCAAGGAAGAATCCCGGATGCTCAGTTGACAGCAACGAATGATTTTTTAGTACTAAGTGCCCCGTGCAATAGTTGAGACGGCTCTGTGTGCTGTTTTTAACTTCAGTAAGTGCCTTGTGCCGTACAGTATTTAATTTAAAAATTGAATACCTGAAATTTAAATTTAGCTGGGCATCCTCTATTTTATTTGGTAACCCACAGTCAGCATCCAGTCCAATGTCATATAAACGCTTGGCATGAATCCCTACAGCACTGGGACAGGGGAGCCGGGAAGTCTCACCATCTTCAAAGAAGACTATGTTTTTGTTTTGTTTTGTTTTGTTTTGTTTTGTTATTGGGGGAGGTTACTGGGGATTATACTCAGGGGCGCTCGACCACTAAGCCCCATCCCCAGCCCTATTTTGTATTTTATTAGAGACAGGGTCTTACTGAGTTGCTTAGCGCCTCGCCATTGCTGAGGCTGGCTTTGAACTCGTGATCCTCCTGCCTCAGCCTCCCTAGCTGCTGGGATATTAGGCGGGCGCTGCCATCCCTTGCTTTTGGAAAGGTCTTTCCCCCTGTAGTTAACCACTCATGATTCTATTGCAAACTGTTTGAGATTTTTAGAAAAGATTGGATTTTTTAATCTTGCAATCTGTTTATGTTTAAAAACAGCTTTCATATCTCCAAGTCTCTGTTTCCTCAGGCTAGATATATCTGGCTTTTTTGTGACAAAGTTTCAACTCCTCTTATTATGCCATTTACTGTCTAATGAACATGATCCATTTTGTTGATATCTCCTCAGTAGGTAAAACTTGAGACATAGAAACCCATGGTTTTCAGTTTTGTATTAAAGAATGTCTCAGATGAACCACTTTTAATATTTCTTGGACCTCATTTTCTCACCTGAAAAACATAATTTATGTCATTTTGTGAAAATTAAATAACTTAGATAATGTCTAATACAAAATGGTAAGCTTAATATGTACTCAAAAACTGATTATTTCTATCATAACCTATTCCTTGTGTATGTGGCATTCAGAATTAAACTGCACCATTCTGTGTGGACATAGTGGAGATAACACTTTCCTCTCTTTAGATTACATACCGTATACAATTATCATCTTACATTAAAATTTAAAGCCCAGACACAGTGACGTATGCCTGTAATCCCATCAATTTAGGAGGCTGAGGCAGGAGAATCGAAAGCTTAAAGCCAGCCTTAGCAATTTAGTGAGGACCTAAGCAACTTAATGATACCCTGTCTCAAAATAAAAAATAAAAGGGACTTCAGTGGTTAAGTACCCCTGGGTTCAATCCTCAACACCAAAAAAATTTTTTTAAATAAAAATAACTGATGTAATTAATACACCCTACAATTCACCCATTTAAAATGTGGTTTTTAGTATACTTGCAGAGTTGTGCAATCATTACCACAATTTTACAACATTTTCATCACCCCTCACATCATGCTTTTTGGCATTGATACCTTTACTGCACTCTTAAGCAGTTTTGGGGGGGGGGTTGTGTGTTAGATTTAATGTGGCTTAAATGTCTTTAGATTTTATTCCTGCTCTGGTGTCTTTTATGTTGTAGAGTTTTTAAATATTTTTTTGTAATTTTTGTCAGTTTTATAATTTTTATTTGAGGAGATAAGAATTCTGCCTGGTTTTATTTGTTTATAAATCTTTTTATACTGTAAGTACTTTGTCCCAAAGGAAATTAAGAATCTTGGGGAATTTTTGAGAGTTAATTTCTCAAGGCACATAAAATTTTTGAGAATCCAAGATCCAGAGCAGTTATTGAAATAAAATTGATATATTTTATTCTAGAGTATGATGTGTGTTATGAAGGTCATTCCCTCTTATTACTACTTTCTACCTCTCTGCTTTTCTGAAAAGTCTAACATTCCATTGTTTTTGATCTCTCAATCAGTTCGTTCCACTCACCCTATAAGTAAACTTAGATTTCTTTCATACATTAAACAAAACAAAACAAAACTACACTTTTTAGCTTTCCCTTTTACATTCTTAACTGACTCTTTCCTGGTACCTTAATTTTTTTAAAGACTTGGTTTTGTTTATTGTCTTCACATTTTCAGAATTATTTCTTAGCACTTTACAAACTGACTTTCTACAAAACACTGAAATAACTTTCAGAAGTTTTTCAGTGATCTCCTTATCACCAAGTTCAAGAGCTTTTTTGGGGGGATTCTTATTTTATTCTCCAACGTGTTTGACTTCAAGTAGCATATCCATTTTAATGAATGTCTACTTCACATCTCTAGCCTGACTTTGTTCATTCTTATGCAGGAAGAAATAATCCTGGCTATTTTGGAGTCTCACATTCAGGACTCTTTCCAATAAAGCCCCAGCATATCTCTCTAGCCTCATATTCACTGACCCTTACCCTCTTCACACTTGAGCCAGCCAAACTACTTCTGTGTTCGTGTGTACCCTGAACTTTCCATGCCTTTCCTTAGGATGCATCCTTTTTCTAGTTTAACTTCATCCTCTTGCTTCCTTTTTCACCATCCCATTTCCATATATTGAAACCCTCTCTGTAATATTCTCCACAAAGCATTCCTGAGCTTCCCATAATCAGGGTTATTTCTTCCTGCATGGAATTTCTCTTACTACTTTAGTACTTAATTTATTTTAGCTCACAATTATACTTTTTATTTTCTAGCTTATATTTTGGGTTGAAGTGTTCTTAACTATTTGGAAGTCTCTGGTCCCCTGAGACTCTGGTGAAAGATATAGACGTTTACTGAGAAAATATATATATAAATGTATCAGTTGCAAAAATTTAAAAAGTCAAAATTGTAAAAAAAAAAAGAAAATATATATATACACATAAAAGGTGTGTGTGTGTGTGTGTACCTTTTGTGTATATATTTTTTTCTAGTAAAGATCTATATCTTTCCTACACACACACACACCACAAACACAAACTTTACTTTGTTCATTTATCTCCTAATGTATGCCTGTGGAACTCAAATTAAGGACTGCTGTTAAAGAAACTAATGAACTTAATTAAATATAAGTTACCTGAAATGTAGAGCTTTGTCCAATTCATGATTTATTTTTCTCAGCACTTTGTGTAGTGGCTTGTAGATCATAGATGCTTATTTAGTAAATGTCTACGAAATGAGTTGATTTATCAAATTTCTTTAAAGTATAAATAAACAGTGAAAGTCTATTATAACCATCTTGTTCTTGGGTGCAGTGGAGTCCACCAGTAATCCCAGTGACTCTGGAAATTCTAATGGCTGGGGAGGCTGAGACAGGAGTATGGCGAGTTCAAAGCCAGCTTCAGCAATAGCGAGGCACTAAGCAACTCAGTGAGACCCTGTCTCTAAGTAAAATACAAAATTTTACTTAGAGGGGATGTGACTCAGTGGTTGAGTGCCCCTGAGCTCAGAAAGAAAAAAGAAACATCTTGTTAGTTTACAAATTTTACTAAGGGTCAGTTATCTATTGGCTACAATTGATATCTTGAATCTCAATTTACTGGCCTTTACCATTCACAGACTCCTACTATACTATGACTTTTGTTAACATTGTGACCCTTAGGCATGATGTAGAATATTTATTAAATAGTAAATTCTACTTTCATTTTTATTATCTTGTAACAGGTGAAAAGAAACTTGGTACTGTTATCACTCCAGATACGTGGAAAGATGGTGCAAGGAATACCACAGGTATTTTTTTCTTTTAGAAAATAGAAATTGAATCAAGTACTTCCTATGAATATGTTTTTAGCTTTTACATTATTTGTAATATGAAATGTTATGTGTTTAGTATATTTCATCTGTTGAACACTAAAGAATACTGGGTCCCTCAATAATTTAATATCTTTTCATTTAGTTCTCTGAGTTATATGTATAGAATAATATAGTAAGCAAGAGATAGCAAAATTATCAAGTGATTTTCAAATGATGATTTCATCTCAGTTTTATATTTAATTTCCCCCTTTCACCTAGTTTTAATATTTTTTAACAAATTTAAACTGTTTTCATCTTTATTATCATTAAATGCATGTAGTGAAATATATTTTCAAAGAGAAGGAAAAGAAGTACTTTCACTGTATTCAAGGTCTATGACACCATAGTAGAAACTTATAGATTCTGTAGTAGACAGAGAAAATGGAGAACCTTCTAAAGGTACTACTTTGATTAAGAAATAAAATTATTGCATTTTATATAAGTTTTCAGTTTCCTTAATAGTTGTTTTCTTTTTAAATAGTGTCTTAAGAACTTGGCTATTAAATAAGTATTTTAAAAATTTAGATATAGGCCATTCTATTGATAAGAGGTCAAAGAATGAACTTTTAAATTAATTATTATTAATTTATTTTATTCTAATTATTATTAGATATTATATGTAAAATGCATAGAAATAACTCACTAAAACATATGTATATTTTGATACAGAAAGTGGTGGAAGAAAGTTGAATGAAAATAAAGCTTTGACTTCAAAAAAAGCAAGGTAGGTAAGATCATACATAGAGGAG